TAAAAAACAGAAAATAGGGATTTTTAGAGAAAGAAGCAAAAAAAAAAAAAAAAAAAAAAAAACCAGGGATTTGGAGATAGAGAGAGGACTGGATAATTTGTTTATGCTGGAACTCAAGGAATTCCAGAAAAGAAATTTTGTTTGTAGTTCAGAGCTATTCTGTAAGATTCCTGCTGAAAAAGGTGGAGGAGGAGCAAATTTTATTGTCAATTGACCATATCAAATATATAATACTGATATAAAAATGCAAATAGATACAAAGAAAACAACATTCACAATAAATTGTCACACCTGAAAATGATATTGTAAAACTTTATCCCTCATTTTTTTCTCAATCTGATCTAGGTATTCTTTCTTCTTTGAGATGGCCTTTGAAATGAAGTCTTACTAATGATATGAAGGTTCATTTCCTGCAATAAGTAAGATTGTTTCTTCTGGCTGCTCCAATTTTTTTTTTATTTTATGTATAAGAATTGAAGTAAGCAGCCCTTTCTGGAAAGTACAATTGAGGGATGTTTTGGTATATTTCTTGAGGAAAAAAAGTGAAGGACAGGTTTTGAATGTCATTTTGAGATAAGAAGGAAGATTGATAATGATGACATAATTGTTTTAAAGGAGGTTCCCATTAGAATCTTCATAAAAGGAAAGACTCCTTCTCCTTAGCAGACATTTTGAAACAGAAAAGGATTCCATTTCACTTGGATAAGCAGGAAGGACTGATTTTAACTTTCAACAACAAAGATATAGATTGAATACTGTTCAAAAAGCTAAATAAGGAATTAGATGAGAAGATAATGTGTTTAAAAATGAAATTTTTTAATAGAGAGCTTTTGCTGATGATTTGGTTTTGATCATACAAGACCCCTGAAAGTTATTGAAGTTTTGATGAAAAAAATGAAACATTTTGGTGTGTTAGCAGATTTTAAGATTAATAAACAGAAAACAAAGATGCTGGTTAAAATATAATTATATAGGATCAAGATGTTTTGATGAAAAAAACTGGTTTTAAAGTTGAGAAAAGGGTTAAATATTGGGGGTTTACCTTGACTGATATGAAGTATATCTTGTTTCGAAATAACAATGCTAAAGTATGGAATGAATTTAAAAAAGATATTGAGATGGGAGAAGTTACAATTTTCATTGTTGGGAAGAATTTCTGTGATTAAAATAAATGTTTTACCTAGAATGTTATTTCTATTTCAGATAGCTATATTGACAACTGATGTTCCATTTAAGTAATTGCAAAAAGATATTTATAAATTTGTTTCATAGGATAAGAAACTGAGAATCAAATTCTTGCAGAATGTTAAAGGAAGGGAGGGGTTTAAGAATACCAAATGTGAAATTGTATTTTGCAGCTTGTTGTTTAGTTTGGATAAAAGAAAATAAAAAATAGGTTATTGGAATAAAGGGACAAGATTTAAGATTGGATGGCATGGTTATTTGTGGTATGACAAAGTTAAGGTGAATATAAGATAGATTTCAAAAATCATTTTATCAGACATGCCATACAGGAAATTTGAAATAGATATAAGGTAAAATTATCACCTAAATCCCCTTATGATTTTTAAAAGGAAAGTGATAGTTAAACAAAAATGGTTAACTTATTGCTGACTTGCTGAATTTTTCCTAAGGAGAGTTTAACTTACAAACAAAAGAAAAATGAATGAAAAGTTTTAAGTTGGATAAAAAGAATTATCAATTTGAAAAGGGTAAAACTGAATTTGATTTAAAGCTCTGTAGAAATGATCATCAAATTACTGTTAACATGTGTGGAAAGAAAAATCTTCATCCGGGTCTAGTCCAAGTCGGGAATAAACAAACATGGCGACTGCTTTAGAAAGAAGGTTGTAGTTTATTGAAGAGGAGAGCCAGACAGAAAGATGGCTCTGGAAAAAAAGAAGCGACTACATGGAGCAGAGTGGTGGGCTTTTATACCTTCTGGGGCTTTTGTTTGGAGTTGTTCCTTTGGCATGAACTTTGACCTGCGTCTGAGTGTGCCTTTCTGTTATTCTGATGAGGGTGGGTAAATCCGATTATGTCCCAAAGGTCATATCCTGCTTCCCTGGGGCTGTGGCTGATGACAGTTGGATTTTTTGGTGAGGGATTGTTGATTCTAGGGATCTTTGTCTTTCTAATCCCATCTTCCTGACTCCAATCTTTCTGTCAAGATTATCACATCTGCATTTCTGCAGACCTGGTTTCTGTCTGGGGCAGACAGACTTGGGAGGGGGGTTGGGTTTCTGCCTTTAAAATCCTTTGGGGAAGTATATTCTGCCTTTTTAATATTTCCCAAAATATTTCTTTCTCTGGATTCTTCTTACACATGTATAATCTTTTATTGAAAATGGAAACATGATGGACAAGGTAAAAACTATATGATAAAATGGGGGGAATGGATATGATATACCAGTGATGGCGAAACCTTTAGAGACCGAGTGTCCAAAAACTGGCCCAACCCCGCTCCACCCCTGCCCCGCCCCCACTCCGTCCCACACACCACCTGCCCGCAGGGCCACTCACTACCTCCAGGGCCCGCCGCAGATCATCCAGGCAGCCCAGCAGCACCATGGCAGCCATACCCTCTGCCCACACCCTGCAGCATCAACTGTGTGGGATGGAGCATGAGGGCAGAGTCTTGTCTATGCTGCCTGGCTACCATGTTCTTGGCTGCGTTGCTCCATGTGGCCCATGCTTGGGGGCGACTCTCCTCCAGGGTGGCTGCTGGTGAGGAGGGGGTCATGGGGGGAGGCGAGGCTGGGGCAACGGCACGTGTGCCCACAGAGAGGACTCCAAGTGCCGCCTCTGGCACCCATGCCATAGGTTCGCCATCATTGTGATATACAGTTGGACCAATGGGAGAATATGTGGAAAAAAAGTTGAAATTTACATTGAATTATAAACTTAAAGAACATTTTAGAAAATGTATCTTTTGTACATGATAGTAGATAAATTGTCAAACATGGGTAAAGGAATTTCAAATTGTAAATATAATCAAAGAGAGGGAACATTTTAAAGAAAAATCTTTGGTGACTATATTACAAAGCTAGAAAATATTGAGACGGAGTATGTATTTTGATGCACAAGATTTTAAAAGTGAATATATAATTGAAACTAAGAGGCCTTTTTTTTGGTCTTAATGGAAATGGAACTTTGTTCTTATACATGATAACTGCATGAGACTTTCATATGGTCAAAGATGGAAGGTCTTACAAATACCTACAATGGAAGAATTTGTGGTAAGCAGATGGAACTGGCCTTGATAGTGAAATTGACAACCTTGATGAAAGAAATGACGTGGGTATATTTTATTTTTTACTTGGAAACAGTTTTAGAAGAACTGAATTACATGAAAAACTGATTTTGGGATTCAATTATTAGCATTACATGGGATTATCAAAATAATGTAGATATATAGTAGCTTCAGAGTTAAGAGTTGAATGTATTCTTATATCTATATCTCTACCAAGAAAGCGGCATGTCATTCTTTGCCGCTTTTTGTTACTTTTGTTCTTTTTTTCTTCTGCACTTATACTTTTATTATTTTCTGAATCGTTTTGATTTTTTTTAAAAAAATCTGTCTGTCTGTCTACCTACCTATCTGCCTATCTACCTATCTATCTAAAAGGCATTGATGAAAAAAATAGGAAGTCACCTATAGTGGGAAGTGGTACCCTTTCTAAGTTGGTCAGTTGGTTGCGTAAAGATCTTGCAGCCACAACATCTTGATGAATGAAGAATGTAATGTATCGGTTGGAAAGTCCCCATATGATTATGTCAAGAAGAAATAAATAACAGGGAGGAAAATTTAGTATTATGACTTCTCTTGTGTAGTTAGTATTAATCACTGGTATAGTGAATTACCAGAAGAGATGTAGGTGATGATATTTTCTGAATGATGGCAAAATGAGGAAATAATTTAAGGCTGAGTCACATAAATGCTTGCTCCAGTTCTAGTTCAGGCAGTTGACCCTTTCCAGAAGACAGGAATGCACATATCCTCTCCTCTCCCCTTCCTTTTCCTGCCCTGCCCTGCCCCTTCTTGGTGAATGCCTGAACTAGTCCCTACACTTTCTTGGCAAGATTTTCAGAAGTATTTTGCCACAACCTTCCTAGATCATCATAGTATTATTATAATTTTCTTTCATCAACAGCCTTCATAGATGCAACGTTCCATAAATGCTGATATAAATTGAAAGTTGCCCCAACCTGAACATTCTGTAAATTGCCTCTCCATTCAGGAATCTTCTGGAACTTCCTCTCCCAGGCCTTCCCCCCCACCCCAATTTTTGCCATTTTCTGGGAACAAACACCAAAGTGTGCAAGCACATTACTTCCTCTCTTTTGCTTACCTTCTTGGACATTGCAGCAGAGAGGGTTAGATCAGGAAGCTTAGAGGCAGAGCCCCAAATGCCTCTGCTTGCTACCTAGTTTATCTTTCAGGACAGTGCAGTACAAAGAGAAAGCAGTCACCTCCTCATCCAGGCACCCAAAGTCTGACTTTGTAGAGCAGACAGGGTCTAAAAATAACCAAGTGCGTTGTGTCATGTGAACACAGCCCGAGGATAAACCTAAACTGGCAATGGTCTATCGAAGAGGATAGGAATGGATGAAGAGCGAGGTGATTAGATGCTGCTTTCATATTACCTGGCTGAGAGAAAAGGCGCTTGCGTTTTCTTCCCAGCTGCCCCAACCTTGGAACCTACAGAATAAGGGGAGTAAGAAAGAAAATTGAGGTAGGGGCCACGTCTGCCTTATTTGGCATACACAGTTCCATATCTCTTCTACCCCCCCCCCCACACATCATCGCCACTAGGAGTGGCAAAGCTCAGAGGCTGATAAATGGAAGGGGATGGGATGAACCTCCGGGCCTCCTGGCAGAAGTTGCCTCTTGCCCTTTTCCAGCCCTGGCTAAAAGAGCAAGAAAAAGGCGGGGAGACGGCTGTTCTCTCTCAGGTTACCCCCCCCCTCCTCCCTCTTCAACCCAGAGCCGATATTCTTTCAAAATAAAAGCGGCCGGCCGAATCTTTCTTTTCTGTTCACCGCCTGTCGCCTCATTCGAGCCTCGCTTGGCAGCCGAACGGCCCAACCGCAGGGGAGCCAGCCAGGGCTTCTGCCTGCCGCTCGCCTAGAGCTGCGCGCCGAGCAGCTCAAGCAGCCGAGCGGGCGGGGCGGAGGGCCTGCGAGGCGGCGGCAGCGGCGGCGGCGGCCGGGAGAGCGCGCGCCGGGCGCAAGCCGCGGCGAGTGCAAATAGCAGCATCTTCAAGAGGAGATACGATTGGCAGCAGCGGCAGCAGCGAGCTGCCTTCTCAGACGCTGGGGTCGGGAATCGGTGGCGGTGGAATTTTCAGCAAGGTGATGGACTGGCTGGTTCTCTGCCTTTTTTTTTTCTTTTATTTCTTTCTTGAAGATAACTATTCTCCCCTTGAGAGAGGGGGAAAAAAAAAACACCCCAACTCTTCTGTCGGAGGAGAGACTCCTCGGAAGGGAATGCTTCGCCGTCTCCCCCGTTTGCTTCGCTTTCTCTAGACTAGCAGCGCGCCTTCCCACCCCCCCCCACCCCACCCCGACCCCCTCGCCTGCCCCCCAACTCGCTTGGCTGGGGAGGGCCTCTGGCGGTGCCTAGGTTTTTGGATAACCACCCTCTTTTCCTTTCTCTCTGCCCCAGATGTTCAAGGTAGCCGCTTTGGCGTGCGTGTGGGCAGCCGCTTGGTGCAATCAAGCCGTGGCGGCGGCGGCGGCGGCGGCGGCGGCAGTACCGATAGCTGCAGCGGCGACGGCAGCCGGAGCCAGGTCAGACAGTGGGAATTTCCTGGACGATAAGCAATGGCTTACCACTATCTCCCAATACGACAAGGAGGTTGGACAGTGGAACAAATTCCGAGACGTAAGTGTGAGCTGAGCTCGCCCTCCCGGTGTTCCTGCGCGCTCTCGCTTTCTGCTTTTGCCCTCCGGCCCCAAGGCTGCTTAACCTGGGTCCGGGCTGCAGGCGTGATCATCTTGCCGCGGGGAAGTTTTCCGGCTTCGCCTCCCTCTCTCCTTTATGAATCTAGCAGGGTTTCCCCCCCACCTTTGTCAATTCGGCGTTGCAGACGGAGTTTCTTTGAGGGCTAAAATTAGTCCTCAGGCGCCCAACCAACTTTTTCCTTTGGGGAGGCAAGCAGGGTTTGGAGTATTAAAAAAAGGGGGGGGGGCAAAAGTTGCTCTTCTTTTATATTTGTTTTAGGTCGCCCTGAGTTCAAAAGTGCATCATTTCCCCCCCCCCCATCTTTCTCTCGGTAATGTATCAAGAAGGCAGGCATCGATCCTATGGCTTAATGGAACCTTTAAAGAAAAAGGGATGAGAAGAGACAATGCTACTTTGGAGGAGTTCGGTGTCCATGAATGAATAAAACCCTTGATTGATGGTGGTGTGTTAAATAGCCCTGAGGAAACGGGTGGGGGGTGGGGGGTGGGGGGTGGAGGAAGGAAAGTAGATTTCCCATGTCTCTTCATGCATGTGAGAAACCGTGCTGTACAATAAAAGCCATATATGCATTTCTGAGGTCCAGGGAATGGAGACGAAGCTGCAAAGCTTAACCTATGCTCTTTGGTAAGATGTCTTTCTGCAAAGTGTGGGGATGGGGTGGGGGTGGGGGATGAAAAAAGAGTATTCAGCATCTCTATGCTAAAAAACATGACAACCAAGCAAAAAATAGGCCATTTGTACAGTTTTCAGGGTGGAAAAAAAGGAGGTTTTTTTTCCCCCTTTATTGGTCTAGGACAGGGGTAGGGAACCTCCAAGCTGACTCAGGAATTCTGGGAGTCGAAATCCACAAATTACAAAAGAGCCAAGGTTCCCTGGTCTAGGAAGAATGGATAGAAGAATACTTTAATCCCTTTTGATGGAAATGAATTAAGGTTTTTGAGACTGCCTGTTTGTCATATTCCATCATGATATATATAATAATTGGTAACTGACAGTTTTCTACTGACACAGGACTACATGTGTTTAAATGTGGGTTGTAGTGCTCAGCCTCATGGAAAAAAATAAGTCAAGTTGAAAGCTGCATCATGCATGCATGCAACAGGGTTACAGCTGATGTTGAGCAGTCACTGTATCTTTTCTTTCCCATATCTTATTTGGCCAAGAAGTTCAGTCAGTGTGTAAAATGCTTCCCAATGAATGACAGAATTCAGATGGGAAAACTGTTGTGAATTGGAAATGAATTGGAAAGCATCGTAAGCATGCATTTTCTATCTGCTTGCTTCATCTTTGTTTTAATCAGGCATATTAAGTACTCTGCATTGTATATTTTTAAAATGTTTAGACCAATGCAGCTACTGAAAAGAAAAAGTGTTTTTCCATTTTTCTTTATACTAGATTAAAACTGGAATTAAATTAATGTTTTTTAAACCATTGAAATTCTTGCTTGAATATTTATATTGAAGCCATAATTTAACTTGTGCTTAATTGGAATTAATTCATTGAAATTTATGCCCATAGATGTTTGCATTGGATGTAGCTTCAGACTGAATACATCCTAGGAAGAAGATAATATTTATTGTAGTAACACTTTATTCTGACTGAAGTAACACTTTATTCTGACTGCATTGTATGCCCTGTGTTGTTTAGAAAATAGTTTTTTGGGAAAGAATTGATGTTTCTATTTTTCTCTTTTAAAACTACCTGCCCAAAGCCCTATAATTTTCTTTATAGTTTTTTTCAAAGATGTACTTGGAGAATGAATTTATTACTTGTATTATTTATATTTAATAGGAATAATAATGATGCATTCATAAAAATATTAATGTACTTTTTCGTTGAATAGCTTGAAGATGTACAGCTTCCATATCCTAGTGCACACTGCTGGTAATTTCTGTCCTTGAGACACTAATATTTTCTTAAGAGAGTTTTATCACATTTCTTGAACATCTCCATACTGGACTCTCTTGGTTTTTCATTTGATGTTTCTGAATCCTCCAACCAGCACTTTGGTTTCTGCTCCATAGGATGTCTAGAGCTCAAGATAGCATCAATCCAGAATCTTTGTTTTGGGGAAAGTTCAACTGAGAGAAGTTTGCGTTGGCTTTTGACAAATCCTGGTAGCTACAAAAATAGTGAAAGATATTATTCGATGAAAGAAAATATGAAAAAGGGAACTGCTTGGTTCATGTGATGAGGATAAACCTAGGCAATAGCATGGCATCTCAAGTTTATAGTCATGGAAAATGATGTGCATTTTGTAGAAATAATTTTTCTAGCCATTTTTTTTTAGTTGTTGCAGAATGTGAAATATTAATTGGAAACCTGATCTGCTACAGAGCATGTCCTTTACTCATTAATTTCTAGGACTGTCACTTTGATTTTCTGCTGGCTACTAGGACACAGTGAATTCATTGGAAAGTGCTTCTGAGGACCAAATTAGTAGATTGGTGTTTATTATCAGTGTTTTCCTTTATCTTTTTTTTTTTTAAAAGATGGTCAAATGGATTTTGTAACTTAGTCTGTCATGTAATTTCCTGTTTGATATTTGAGTGCATTGATTGTTACCTCAGTCATCACAAACTTTGTGATAGTTTGCACTTCTATCCAGACAAAAATATCAAAATGGGATTTTAATCCATCACTCTCTCTTAAAAAAACAATACTGTTGTTCATAAATTACAGATGTTAGAAAACATTGATCTACCATGTTTTTACAGATAACTCAAAAAGAATTGTTTGTACTTTTTAAGATGCTAATACTTGGCACTAAACATTCTTATTCATGAAAAGAAATGATATAGTTAAGATAGCAAATTCCTTCAATAGTTTTATCAATGTCTGGACAACAACCAAAGCTGAACATAGTGAATAAACATAATATGAAAACTCAGTTAAGATATTTTGTATCTTTGAAGTTACATGCTTTCCATGCTGTTTATTTTGAGCTGATGTTATTCTATGGAAGACCAAGACCCATTGGCCAAAGAAAGATTGGTGTGTATATAGACTTTAATAGCATATAAATGGTGAGCTAATCCTATTCAAAAGTTTTAGTTGTGAATGAGGATAAAGTCTGAAATCAAACACTATCTAATTTACAATTGTTGGATGTTATAGTGGACAATTAGAATGAACCTGATGTTTTACCATATATATAATAATTACTTTAGGGTAGGGTTTTTGTTTGCATTATATCATGAGAATTATGTATTCATCCAGGTGCTAGGCTGTTTTGCTTCTAAATATGTGTGAAATCATATTTCTTCCATGATGATTGCTAATATCATCCTTATAAAAGGTAATCTTGGAGATATTTGATTTTTTAAAAATTTTTTAAAAAAAAGCACTGGAGGAAACTTCTCCCAACTTTTGTTAAATAATTCCTTTACCTGCTTAAATTATTTAATTGGAATTAAAACTATTAAAGCTATGGTATTTACTATGCTTTTTACTTAAAATTAAACCCAGCTAATGTCAGTGGGGCATAAATGTGGTTTGGAATGGCTAATATGATACTCTATAAATATTTTTATAACCTTCTGTGACACAGTTGGTCAGTACAGTTAGAATAACTGTCTTGGAAATGCATTAGGTCAATAAATGGGTAAACATTTATTCTAATGATATTAACATCTTCTGATAAAAGCTCCAATCTATCAATTATATAAACAAATGTACCAGAGTATTTTATTATTATATTAACCTATAACAAATTGATAGTTTGATTATGTGCTATCAAGTTGGTGTCAATTCTAAGTGATTAGGTTTCCTCTATGATGATCTGTCCCTTTGTTTTTCAACAGATATAGTTTGAAATTTTCAGATGGATGGAAAATAATCAATTATACTTGTTTAATTTCTCATTATCATGCAGCTGTTAAAGTCATTGAGCGCACATCAGAAAAAAAACCAGAGTCTTATTCTAATCTGGATTTATTGCAAATCTTGTATTTTAAAAAAGGGATTAAGTAGGAAAATATGATTGAGCTCTGGAACAATAAGAAGTGGTGATGTCAGTGTGACTAATTCAGCCTTTCTACCACTTTGTGGCTTGCAGGTGTGTTCTATTCTGTTTCAACACTTGGCCCTTTCTGGTTGTACATAATGACCTTAGCAATGTAAAATTTTTGGGGTGCCTCCAGTGGGGGAGACTGCACTAACTTAAAAGGGTTATTTTGAAATGATTTAAATTCTGCTTCTAATAGCTGTTATTTTTTTCCTGTTGTATCTTGCATATGCAGTTTAACTTTATTCAAGTGCAGTGATTATTTAGGTTTTCTTACATAGTGGTAAACTGCATTTCAAGCATGGTTTTTGTAAAATAAAGGGAAAGCCTTTGAGGAGTACTTCTAATGTGAAAAGCAGTATTTAAAGGCTTAACTCAGGAGTTAACTGACAGGATTGATTTATGTATCACATAATGACCCCGACTTCTGGCTCATTGACTCGGCTTTCCAAAAGTGATTTAGAACACAATAGAAGAGAATTGAGAGCAATTCAGTAATAATTATTCATAACCTTAACTTATTTAAGATGTGTTGTAACTTCTCCTGGTTTACTTATTAGATTGGCATTGGGTTTCCTAGGTGAATAATTAATATTATCTCCACTAAAACCAGTTCATTCCAAAGAATATTGTGTAAAACCCATTTGAATACTTATTTTCACTTGTATGGAAGTAATTTAATGCTCTGTCATAAAACCTGTCTTACAGAGAAATAGAGGAAAATATAGGATTTAAAGAATATATTTTGTAGGGCTGTACAAACTTTTAAGGAGTGTTTCTTTCTTGACAAAAGTTGAAGCAGGGCATCTCTTTAAAGCAGGAGTCTGCAACCTTGACAACTTTACTTGTGGACTTCAGCTCCTATAGCTGGTTGAGGAAGTCTGGGAGCTGAAGTCCACAAGTCTTAAACTTG